AGAGTTTCAACCACGAGAGGATGAAGGAAAATCTTGAGATATTCGACTGGTCGTTGAGTGAGGAGGAGCTGAAGAAGATCGAAGAGATCCCACAATACAGAATCTGTCGCGGAGAAGATTTCATCTCCAGTTATGGACCTTACAGGACAGAAGGGGAACTGTGGGATGGGGAACTTTGATTCCATCACCTGAGTAGTGGCTGTTCGGTACAGTGTTTTGGAGTTACTGATAGTGGTTTTGTATAAATCGTTAATAATAAGTGTTTGATAATTTATTTACTTTAAAAATGTTATAAATTAAGTGTCTCATCAAATTTTTTATCTAGTGGTTTTGAATTAGCAACATAATATAAACCTAGTAAATGCATATGCTAGTTGCATCCGAAAATTTGGGCAATTACTGCCTAGTTGTTGCTCAAAATATTTCCACACAAGCAGCTCCCAAAAGCCTGTAAATAGTGCAGCTCTCTCGAGTCCAACAAGACACTCTTGAATAACCTAACATGAAAAAGGCAAGGAATTAATTAAAAAAGGATTCATATAATTTATTATTTTAAAAAGGCCTCCGTTAATTTATGCATTTAATTTTATTTTATCATTATTTTAAAAAAAAATTATTATAATATATATTTAGTAATGAAAAGTCTTATTTGTGTGTATTTAATTAAAGATAAAAATAAAATTCTCTTAATAAATTATTACATTTCTTTACTTTAATAAATAAATAAATAATCGTTAAACTGCTGGAGTATATATGAATAAAAAAAAAATTATGCATTTTAATATTATTGCAACGTCTTTCTTACTATGTTCTTCCTTCGTATTCAGACCATCAAAATTCACTAAAAGATCTGACTACAGAAAACGACGACCAATTGCCTTAGCATCTTTTCCAAATGCCACTCCCTCTAATACCCAGCTTCCAAATACATAGTTTCAACCACACAAAATGGAGAAAAATAAAAAAAATTGTATAAAATAAATCTAGATGCACGTATATTCGAAAACCAGAATTAAAATTGAAATTGTAAAATATAAATAATTAAATAAAAAATAATTTTTAATATCAAAATTTTATTTTCTTTAGCAATTTTAAGTTATCCACTCCAATCTGAATTGCCGAACACATTGTTATTATATAATTTATCACTGACTCACAGAAACGGGAGTCAACATTGAGTTCAAAGAAACTCCTTGCGTTTTGCTTTAGATGGACAGCAGTTCAGACTCTGCTTGTTTCAAAGTTCCAGAATACGTTCTGGC